TCCATGTTTCTGGATTCTTGCTTATCTACAAAAATCTGTGGGATATTTTAAAAACTTGCACATCTCATTTTATAATGTACAGATTCTCATCATCCTGGGTTACTTTTAAATTAAATTATTACTTAAATTTTCATTAAAAATCAGTAATTTCTGCAACCATACAAGTTTTTGGTTTTGTTTTTCTTTTTCAGTGCCCACTCTTGCTTGGCAGTAACAGGGTGTAATACTTCTCCTTTCCATATGGGGAAAATGACTGCTCTACTGCTGCCAAGATCAATCTTGTCTGTAGTATGGATAACTACTGGGTGATCTTTTGGAACTAACCAAATGAATGACAGACATGTGAGAGTGATTCGAGTGCCTATCCACAGCTATTTTAAATTAAACTGACATTGGGGGAAATGTTGTGTACCCAATTCTTTTTCCCATACACTAGGTATTTTTAACTGGTTCCCATGAAGATCTCATACTTGCATAACCAAACCAAGAATTAGGAGTAAAGCCTCTCTGACTTTCATCTGGTAATGAAACCTCTCTTCCTTTCCAGAGGGCAGTTACAGATATCCCAAAGATGAGACCTCATTCTGAAGTAGCTACAGGTCTTCCTACCTCTCATAACTACCTGAGGAAAAGGAAGGGAAATGGCCTCTGAGTTTCTGGACATGAACTTTGTACCCCCATGTTCTGGCAGTATTATTTCCTTACATCTATTTAAGTCTCTCATCCATGTAAATGAAGTAAAGAAACATTCTGCATGCAATTATAAATATATCAGATTAAATAAGCCTCTAATGCTCAAATTGAGAAAGTTTAATATAAGTATTTCACTGTGAACATTTGAGGTGAGAGCAGAAGAACCATTCACAGATAATATTGTCAAGACAGAAGGAAAAGAGACAGAAAAACTATGAAAAAGCTGCACACGCATAATAGGATTTTTTTAAGTTCAGCTAAAAAGAGAGGAATTCTGTACTCTTTAGTATATATAACCACTGTCACAGTACAAAGCCCTTATAATTTTCCAGTGCTCCTGTACATACTGAGCCAGAGTAAGGCTGAGGTACTGCATGCAGACCATCAGGTTCTTTATGAGTGGGAGAGGCAGGAGCTCCCACCCCTGATCTAATTTTGATCTAATCTGCAGTCAGTAAATGACCTTGCCAGTAACCTGCACCACGGGTGATTTCTCTCCTTGATAAACTCATGGAAGAAAAATCAATTGAGTGCTATGAACAATAAAATTCTTACATCTGCATTAAGGTATCTCTAAGACAATCACCGGAGGCAGAAAAGATGGTCAGAGAAGCACCATTCTGTGTTTGCCCTATTCACACCTCCTCCTTCTACTGGCCAGAGACAGAGCCCATGGTCTGCACCTCTTCTGACATTTCCTCAGTTTTGCTTCAAGAAGTATTGCTATTTATCTAAGAAGCTTGAATTCTACAGAAGTCCCAATGCCTATGAGGTGGGATGGCATTCAGTAATTGACATGACAACATAGTTGTTTAGTCACAGGATTATGGTTAGGAAAAAAAAAAACTAATACAAGGGAAGAAAATCAAATTAATATTCTGTACTCAGGCACATCAGCAGAGGCTAATCAGACTGTTAGGCCATTAGTAAAACCACAAGGTTTCACTCCAGCAGCTCTGAAACAGTAATGGATTTTCCCATGAAAACTTGAAAGAAAAGGTGAAAAAAGGTTTGTGTGGTATGATGGAAAGGAATGCCAGACACAGCTTTGGTCAAACATTCCCATTAAATATTTTCTCATTACCCACTAGGTTCACTCACAGGCCAATTTCACTGGCTATTTACCAAGGAGGTTTAAGATAATGTTTACTGCTCTATACTGTTTTTCAATTTTCTAAGCTTACTAGCATTTCCTTTTAAAAAAATCCTTGTGAAATTAAAAAAGTAACACATAAATGTTTTCTCTTCAGAGTAGATTTTGTGTTACTCTGATTATATACATTCTATACCTTATATACATTACTCTACATTATATACATTCTACCACTAAACTGGTATACAAATGCCTTCAAAAAGTATTATTTTTTTTATTTTATACTTGAAATAAATTACTAAATATGCCTTTTTTCTTTAACAATTCGGACTAAATCCAACTGAAATCATTGAAACTATTTTCATGAGGAACGAGAGCAGATTAAGCTCTTTGGAGAGAGAGATTCTGGTATATTTGTGCTTTTTACTACATGCATCAGCATAGCATAACTTCATTTCTGCAACGCCTAAAAAAGCCCAAAATAGAAAGATTAAAACTATATATTTCAGCACTAGATAACATGTAAAATGTAAAGAAGCATGTAACTTAGTTGCAGAAAACAAACTGAAGTCTGAGATAACATTATCCATTCATCTTTAATTACACTAATGCTAAATGCTATCTGTATTTTTGAGAGTATAAAGAAAAAATGAAAACTAGGCAAATAGTCCATAGAAAGCAAGTAATTACTGCACTGCTGAAAAAATGCTTTGATAAACTACACAAAAGATATTAATCTACCAATTTACAGTCCAGTGATCTTTCCAACGAACAGCGTTTACTGCTTACAAAACATAAAAGCCAGCTTCTTGAAAATTCATTTGCTTTTAGCATGCCTTTTTGCGTTTATATTTCATCAAACTCAGCAATTTGAGAAGAACAAGAAATGAACACTAATGAAAAAGCCAAAAGATACAAACAGTAGAAAGATCTTGAAAAAATATACTGTTTCTATTTTGTAACACCACTTATACTAATTTTTCTTCTTTTAGATTCAGGTTGATATGCTTAATTTTGTTTTTCTTAGATGTGTACTATTTAATCTGTAAGCTACACAGACTGATTGTACAGATATTATTAGTGCTGACTCACTGAAAATTATGTGATAAGAGCAGTATTTATAAGTCTCAATTCTTCACCATTATTATTTTGACTATTTTCATTTCCATTATATGCAAAGCAGAAGAATGACAGTCTTAAATTTTATAACCACAAATGAAGAAAACCAGCAGCACTAAACCTCTGTAGACTGAAGTAATTTACTACAGTCTTAAAAAGTACCATATAAATATCAGCACCCATATAAATTTATAGCATAAAATTATGAACCTGCTGAGATTTGTACACATACTTAAAATTTTACTATGTGAGTGGTCCCAGTGAAGTTGTTTATTGACAGTTTCCTACTGTTGGGTCTCAATTCCATGTCTCTCCTGCATTTTGAAGCAAAGAATAAAAATTTATGTCTCAATTCTTAGAAAAACTGATAGAAAAAGAATCTTTACTTGACTCTCCTGTAGCACTACCTATCTCAGCAGGTAAACAGACCCTCTAATTTTGAGAATTAGAAGACAAAGTTAGCAAATTAAAACATGCAGGTTGGTGACCAGTATTTCTCACTATTCTCACTAAGTTCTCTTGGAGATTCAGGATCTATCACTGAAAAGCTCCTCATTCTTGCAGTCTTAATGCCCAAGTGAAGTTTCCATACACTGTTGCTGACTTGACCATCACTAAAAGGAGATGCCATCATGAACACCTCCAGACACTCAGTTCTAAGGAGTTCAAATTCATTGTGAATAGAATTATTAAATTATTTTGTTGCCTGTGCCCAAGGACAGAAGATCTCCTACAAAAGCCGACTTCTTGCACTTCATCCTTTTCTCAGTCATGAAGTTTCAGAGGAGATACTGAGGCACTCATTTTCTCTCAGAAAAAGGTTATAACACTTGCTTATAAAACTTGTATCAGAAAATAAAAATCCCCTAGAAATTCTCATGTGTTAAATTGAGGTTCAGTATGTTCCATAGGAGAAAAATTCAAAACCCAATTTATGCTACTTTTGGAGAAATTCTTTAGTACTAAATAAAACTTCCAATGGTGTATAAAACCCCCTGTGTTTAGATTAATGTTTAAAATAAAAACAGAGACTTTTTTCCCCCCTCCACAAAAAAAAACCCATGTTTTCTGCTTTGATAAGAATTCTGCATTTTTAATTTGCAAGACTACTGCCATGGAAATTATAGGTATAACAAATCCATCCATAACCAGATTTTGCTTTAGGATGAACTAAAGGAGAAAACAGGATTTGAAAAGAAAAGGAAATACAAATGTAGATTTTGTATAAATGATCCCCACCATAAGGAGGGTCGGCCACCTGTGCTAGGAAAGACTACTGTGCTGGGTTAAAAAAAGTGCGAGAGAAAACAATATCTTGAAACAAAGTGACAAAGTTGCTAATCTCACAGACTGCAACAACTAATGGAATGCAAGCATATGTTGCCGTACTTATCAGCGGCAATTCTGTTTTAATTTCTGCCACTCCTGTTCTTTATAATCTATAAGCTTTCTTCTGTACATCATACAAGTGAAAGGACCTCTTTTCAACTATGGTATTCAACTATTCCCTTCTGTACAAGGGAATAGATAGTTCAAGTCATACACAGACCCCTCTGTATTACAGATTCACAACTTTAGGGTTTTATATTACTGGTGAGAATGGTATTTTTTATGGAGAGATTCCCAATGATACCTTCCTTTCATCATTAAATTGTTGCAATTACACAAGCTAGAGTTCATTGAAATATATTCTATAGTAACCACAAATCTAGTTTCAGGGACAAGTAGGAGTTTTGTCACATTAAGGCATTTCATCATGATAACTGGTGGAGTAAACAACAAAAACATCTAAGTATTTTAGGATTTGTGCCTCACTTTACAGATTTAGAAGGGTTCACAGAAATCCTTGAGAAACACAATGGTAATACCAAAGCAGGGAAGTCCTATTGCTAAAACACCTTGTCCTAGGATTTCTTTTTTTTTTAATTGAAACAATAGCACCTATTTAGTTTAGTCTAGCCCTATCTCTTACTCATGGAATAGGAAAATGACAAGAGTGTTAGTAGATAATTACCTGTATGAGAGGGAAAAAAGCATGTGAATATGATTTCATTTCATATTTTGAATAATGACAAAAGAAAACTAAAATACATACTGCATCTGTAACTTCTATCTCATACAACTTCTGGAATGTTTCACGATAAAAGAAAAAGAGCTTCCCACTGCCACCACCTTTCTTAACAGAGGTGCCTGTGACAAGTATTTTATCATCTGGGCTGAAACAACAATCTGTCCTGTTGAAGAAAACATCACAAACATATAATTAACATATAGAGAGCTTATATATAAATTGCATTCCTTAAGAGCAATCATTTCTATTTGTTAATCCTTTCAAGACAAGACTTTAAAGTAATCTTTTGTCAGTTGTCATCTATTACTATAGTTATCAGATATCTATTGTTATAGTTATCAGTTATAGTTATCTATTACAATTGCTATTACAGCTGTGCACAAGATGGGCAAAACTGGCAGATTCAATAAAAATCCACCTCCCAACAAAATTCTCCTCCACTCAAAAGTCTTGTAAGCTTTTCAATATGATAAACAAACAAAAAAAAAAGTACTTTCAAATCTGGTTATCATCATTAAATAAAAAAAGTATCAGTCATGAAATCTGTTTTTGCTGATGATACATTCTTCAGTGATGCAAGGTGGTATGTTTATACATTGGCCAAAAATGTTTGTCATTTACTTTTCCACTCTGTTACAAATTGCAGTCAAGACTGAGCTGCCCATTGCTTGCCTTTTTAAGATCTTATTTTAAAATTATAAACTGTCCTGAGGGTTGGATTTGGCTGTGTTACAGCTATAGAAATGCAAGTCATACCAATAAAAATATTAAAAGCAATACTTAGCACTATGCAGTTAAATAAAGTATTTTAGTACCAAAGAACACAGCCATCAGCACTTCTGACACCATAACCTGAATTCATACCAGGTACCTTCATGTTATGTCTATTTTTTCATCCAGCTCTTTTTTATTAATCATAGACTAAATAAGAATGAGGTGTACACCCATATCTCATTACACAAACATAAGGCAATGAATGGGCCTCCTCCTAAAAAGTTGCTAATCTAATAAGACATAAGACATATTAGACTGAAAAATGGTATAAAACAAGCAAAGTTAGCTATGCAATACCACAAAAATGGTAAGAGCTTTTAAAGCAATGTGAATCTCTAAAATAGCCAAGAACTGACACTGCACAGTCCTCCCTGTGCAGTCCTTTCTGCACTGTTCTGCACCTACTGGCAACTGAGAACTCCAGTAGAACCCCATTCAGCAAAAATATTGCTATTTCTACTAGTTGGAATAAATTAGAGTACTTACATTGGAAAGAAGCTGGGCAGTCCATCCGCTGAATTAAGAGGCTTTTTAAATTGTCTAATATCCCATATCTTCAAGGTATCATCTCCTATGAAACAAAAGAGACAAAGGTTAGCAATAAAGAATTAAAGCCAAGAATTAGGCATGTCAGAAAATTTCATCCTCTAATTCAGACAGAAAGAGAACAGAATGATAGAATAGAAGCATTCTAAATGGGAATGGTTTGGAAGATTTTTGTCCCTAAATGACTATTACAGTACAAGGATAAGAGTTCAAAGTGCTACACTCTAGTATATCAGAAACTTCTTCTCCATAGGCTTAACTCCATCACAGTAATCCCTCCTACTAAGAATCACTGTCCACAGTGGAATCAAGTTCCCCAATCACTAGTTTATCCTGTGTTTGCGAGCACTGGTGCTTTACTACTAGGAACAAATTTAACTTTCAATATAACAAAAGAAATTAAAATGTTGCCATGAATGGTATAGATCAAAAACTAAACAAGTTTTATGTGTTTGGCTTCTACATGTCCTGAAAAAGCCATCAGGAAGGATGGAGAGCTCATGAAGTCTTCCTCCTTCTTTAGCAGGCAAACAGCAACAAACTGCTATCTCAGGATGGTGAAGAGGCCCTGGCATCAGTCAGAAATCCTCGGGGTGAAGGGAAGCAAGTGAAACCACAGCGAAACCACACTTGCTTTAATGAAACCTTTTCACCACACGACCTTTAGCCATAAAAGCTAAGATGGAGGTTACAGCAAGACATTTATAGCAATTCTCATCTGTGCTTGATAAACATGGTGTGCTTGTAGGCCAATAGAAGTTAGGCTGTTTATCCCTTTTCGAAAAGTTATGACATGTTAACAAAGTGAGAACAGGGGGAAGAAAAGAGATTAGTTAGTTATTCTCAGAGGGATCTACATCTCTGCTGATTATTCTTCTCAGATACATCTTTCCAGTGTGCGACAAGCTACAGATTTTGAGCTTTGAAGCACCTAGACATCTCCTAGCATTTGACATTAGTGCCTCAGCACTTTCAAGGGTGAAAAGAAGGACATTAAAACAACAATTATCTTTCAAAATACCCAGAGATTGATTCTAGACTAAAAGTTACAAAATCTTTCTAACCTAGGAGGAAAAGGAGGCAAGACCTGCTTCCTTCCAGAGCACAAATCTTGCAGGGAAGTGATTTGGTTGTCTACAAGTATTTTATGGACTCACAGACTTTAAGCTCAAGAGTTCAAAGGAGGCCTTGGAAATAAAATGTTTTTTAAAAAAGTAACATGCTGCAACAAAAGAAATCAAGGCCAGCAGTGCCCTTTACAGGGAAAGCAGTAATGTGTGGCCTCATACATCATGTATGTTTATATTAAAGACTAGGATAACTCCTTACTACAAAATATTTTTAAAAAGTGGACAACTTAAATAAATGATGTCTAGAGCAGAGTAGAAGCTAAAAAATGACAACAGAGAAAAATGTTGAGTCCCTATTTTGGGAATATCTGTTTTCTTATTGTTTCTCAGTAGACTCCATCCCAAGCATTTCAAAGCTTTTGGTCTTGTAAAATAAGCCCTCCCTTCTCCCTCCCCCCCAACAAAAAAACACTTATTACTGAGATGTTACATCTAAAGCAGCAGCACTTTATAAACGTATGCAAAGGACACCATTTGGCCATTTTGCAAATCTTCTGGATAGGGACAGATCTACAGCTAGCAGCCAAGGCTGTTCTGTTTCCAGTGGAATGAGCCTTGACACGATCTTCAAGCTGTAGTCCTCCCAGACTTTAGCAGGAGAGATGCAGTCAGACGTAGTAGTTATAGCTCTTCTGCTAACTAGAAGAACTAATGGGCTGGTTAAAAACATTAGAAGACTCTAGCAGGACTCAAAGTTGTGGTTGTTTTCAAGTCAACACTGTCTTTAACTGTGCAGAAATAGATAATTAAGTATTTGGAAAGGGAGAAATGCTAGTAGAAATACTTGGCTAATGCTGTGAAACTCTTATCATCATTTAGAATTTGCCCAAATTCACTGTTCCTAATTTGCTTTTCCTAATGAAAATTTTCTGTGTGCAAATGTGATTGATTACTGAATCTAATTTGCGTTTAGAGTTGAAATCACTGTCACAAAGATAACGGAGTATTAACTTTCCTCAATACTAAGGATTTTTCCAGTAGCATTCTACTATCGATGCCTAAGAGGTTTCTTTACTAGAGCTGTAGCACTACTGTTCTGTTTTTAATTACTTCATAAATGAAAAAAACCTAGTTATCCTTAAACAAAAACATATAAACAGAAGTTGTGCAGTTCAGTATGAAGCATTCAAAATAGTCTACTGAGATCATTCAGTATTTTTTTTCTTGATGGCAGACTTGTCTGAAGCCTGGCAGGATTACTTAAAGCTTTTATAGTCTTTTTAGTAGAATTTCAAACTCTATGTTTTGCCATTTTAATAAAAAGGATACCAATAAACAGGCTCAAGTCTGACACAATCAGGTCAGACACCATTATGCCAATGGTATTGAGCATTGGATTTATCAAGAGGCAACAATTAGGTCCTAGAAAAACAGTCTTTGGTGAGCCAAGATAGGCATTTAGTAAATGCCTTTTAGTCAAAATAAGACCAAGCACTGATACTAGAAAGATTTTATCTGATTTTTAGTTCTCTTTTCAGAAAATGATGAGTAGGAAGACAAGCACATGAATGTGAATGGGCACAAAAGAAAAAAAAGTGCTGCCAGAAACTCAAAAGCTTACAGTCAGCAACACTAAAAGGGGGAGCCCTGCGTTGAAAGCAAATCAAGGATAGCAGGTGTTCACAGAGATCACTGAGGAAAGCAAAGAAACATAGGAAATGGGAATTTAAAAAATAATAGGAAATACGCAGCATAACAAGAAGGGGTATGTGTGAGAGGGCACCAGAATATGTTTATAAACTATGAGCCTTTCTGTGAAGGCTTATGTGGAGAGAGGTACCTTACACATACCTTACAGAACAAGGTATGTGCTTCTGCATTCTGCACTGGTTCTACAGGAGGACCTGCAACAACTAAAGAATGACCCTTGGAGGCATCAAACATTGGGACCACAGCCAAAGGTCTCGGGGCGGAAGTCACAAATCAAGGCATCTGCACACATATTTGCAACAGCTCTCACCATCACCTCCATCCATACCAGCCTGGTCAGATTAATTAAAGTACACTATCTTCTCTAAACATATGGAAGAGGAGGATACTGGAAGACTTTGAGAAAGCCATTTCAGCTCCAAGTGTTGTAAATAGTTAATATTGAAATATTAAAGCTAATTAATGCTTTTTTGGCATTGTTGGAATGAACAGTGCTCAGATTACTTGACATAAACCCATTTGATTTTTAAAATGCTAATGTCTGCATTTACTATAAAGAGCAATATATTATTCCTCTACACAAAATAGAAAGTCACTATATATGCTGCTGCGTAATCCTTGAGGAAACTGTATTCAAGGTGTTTCTACTTTTTAATCCAACTACAAAATGAAATATCTTATTTTTCCTCAAATACGCTGTGAAAAGAGAAATACAACTAAATATTTAAAAAAAAAAAATCCAAACCAGAAACAAACCCAAACCAAACAAAAATATCCAAAGGAAACACCAAAACATTTTTTTTGAGCTCAGATGAAAGCATATATCTACATAAGCTATCTGATGGCTTTGATGTGAATATTTTTTGCGTGGGTCTAGCAGCATTGAATTAATTTTCCCTATATAAATTTACTAAGATGTTAAGATGACAGTGAGTCCACACAGTGTCTGTAACACAGAGAACAGATGAACTACCAAACTAAAAGCTGTCATGAGATTCAAGGAATTAAGGAAGTCATTGTTTCATTTTATGACAAAAACTAACTCCCAGACATATCAGCAGTCAAGAAAAGTTTTTTTATATTCAATATTTTTACAATAGGTCCCCAAGTCTAGTCCTACTGCTTATCTTTTTCCCTGCTAAACAAAGAAAATGTTCTCCAAACATGATTGTTCATGGTTTCAAGCATGCAAAAATATCACTTTCTTAAGTTTCTGTCAAGTTACTACCTAATACCCAACAAGAATAAGACTGGAAACTTTCATAAGCAGCTCCTTAGGTTTTCCTTTTCCCTTGTGCCTGCAGCTGAGCCATGCCTCAGCTCTCTCATATCCAACACAGAATCTACATCAGATGCAGGAAAGCCCATCAGGCTTTCAATGAAAGTTCCCATGCCCCAAACAACTATCCCTCTCTTTGATCCTCAGCACTTGGCAGGTGTGTTAATCTATGAATGCTAAATCCACATCTGCTTTCATTGGTACAGATCCAAAGCAATACTCATATTAGAGCCCTAACCAAACAAGTCAAAATAAGGTATGAATCCTCCTTATTCCCTAGCACAGTGCACACAGAGCTTTTTCTTTTTTTTTTTTTTGAATATGCTAGACAAAGGTAGCACTTTTATCCACACTGAGTGGCCAAATTTCTCTGCAGTCCTACATTCTGCAAACAATCAATCAGCATTTTATACAGCTTAGAGCAGAGTGTGATAGATAAAACATAAGTAAATGAAAGTCTGTTTAACATGACACAAAAACTGGAGACAGATGAGGAAGAGCAGGCAACCAAAAGTGCCACATGCAATAAAAATAAGCAAAGGTCATTTTATGTGATCGACATTCATAAATGTGAAACAGAAGAGAATTTACATAAATGGATGTTTCAACCACTAGTGAATACTTCTCACATAAGTATTAACCTTGTTTGCTCTTATATTTAAAAGCACACTGAGGTTTATCCTTAAATCTCATACTCTATGTGAATTTTTTGAGGACAACACCACTAGCAGACAGAAGCAGCATTTTACTTAGTGCAGAACAGAAAGACACACAGTTCACCTGCTTTCCCAGCAGGAGAAGGTTCACACACAGTAAGAGTCTAGTTCAGTAAGGACAAGCAAAGTTGAGAGCTTTTACCTCAACCACTTAGAACCCATTCATGATGGGCAGAGTGGCAGTAGAGCTCTGGATTCAGGAGCCTGAACCACAATTAGGAAACAATCCAAGTGCCATTAGTGTCGGTAAGCCTAGGGCCATCAAGGACAAGACTTAAGCCTAGGGCCATCAAGGACAAGACTATCATCAGCTTACTCTGAAAGATGTTTTCTGGGAAACATAATGTTTGGAATCTTTGAAATGCGGCAAGATAAAGAGTCAGTGAGGCAGCATCAATAGCAGTTGCATTTCACTGTACCCATATGCACTTGTGCCACTCTACCCATCAGGGACGGGGGGGACAGGGAGGACACAAAGCAATTGCAAGATACAGCCCTTGGCTAGGAATCACATCCCCTGCTTCATAGGTTTTGCCATCTATGAATACCTCTATCCTGGTACTTTGTATACGTAATCTCATTCTGTCTATGTCCCATACTGACCAGATGTCCTATGCATATGTTAGGCACAATGTCAGCCGACATTAATGCATACTGCCTCTCCCTAGGCCTGTTTATTTGGCCTTGGGGCAATGCTAATGCATACACAGAGCTTCTGGTTACAGCTGGTTTCCATCCAGACAGCTTGGATGGTATGCTTGCACCTGCCTGCAAAATACTGGGTAGACAAATCTCTGCACGAAACAACGTCCTATCCCAATAATGAAGTGAATGATTCCTCAAATACATCTTTGCCTTCTCAAGACTTGTTCTGTTATCCAAGACCCATTTATAAAAAATTCATCTGAAGTTTAGAACACAAGACCTTTTTCCCAGTCCTGTGGATATTTCAGATTTTTCTGCCATTCAAGTACATCTTGGCCAGTCAATTCCAGTCATAAACTTTTGCTGTTTCTAATATAGATTAGATAAAAATTCCAATTAGGACAGAAAAGGACACTGCCTAAGAAAGCTGTATGAGGAATTAATAAATCCAGAACAGAGAGACAGTTATCGAGAGGCAGTAATCTTCCCAGAAATAGCTAAGCAATAAAACTGGACTTGTTTTATTTATAATTCAGCTATTAATTTCCTTTTGGTGTATTATTAATTCTAGACAAGAAGACAGATCAGGAACTGCGTAATATAATCAGCATAGTTCTCTTAAAATATTTCTTCAATGCTGTAAAATGCACATTCAGAAACACAGTATTGTATGGTATATCAAATAAAAGTAGTAAATTGTGAAATACTTCAGGTTTGAATCACTAGTGTCTCGTTTCACTACCTCATCTCCATCATAAGCAATTACATTTAACAGTGATTCAATTTATATGGTTTGTTTAATGAACAATTTCAACTTACCGAAGTTAAAACTGTCTTACATTCAACATATCATAGGGTTCTTTCAATCACCTACCTCCTCGGCTGGCAAGGACAGTCCCATCATAGGAAAACGTCAAGCATGAAGTGTCAGTGCCTGAAGCATGGGCTTGCCTGCAGTGGAACTTCGTATGTACCTGTTTGTCAAACAAACAAAACATTACAAAATAGACATTACAAACAAAATGTTTCAAAGTGGGACAAATATTTTATAGCATTTTGTGTACTCTGATGCTATTCCTAAATTTAAACAGAAACCCCTGCATTTTTAGAAGCTAAATTTCAACAGCCTTTTAAAAACATCACGCATGTTTCAGAATAGGCTCTCATAATAAGGCCTTGAATGCAAAATTTAACTTTTTCATAGGTTTAATTATACAGTACACACTTAGTGCTCCCACCAGCACTGAATAAAAAGTAGTTATGCCTGGTTAAGATAAAAATACATTTGAAGACAGTTCTCAACACTCCCCTAAGCAGGCCTGTAGTTACAAAAACTACCAAAATACAATATACATACTTTCCAAAGGACTTTAAAGAAGGACTGGAGGAACTTACTTTTCCCAAATTTAATCCCTGACAAACTTAATGGCTTACATAATAGAACAAAGTTCAGATATTTTTAAATTTGTGCTCCATTTAGCTGCAATAAAATTCTAGTTTGGGAATGATGTATATTTTATTTTAATTATTTCTATTTTGCTGATAATTCTAGAGAAAGGTTGAAATTGCTTTCAGGTTAACATTTTATTTTTATTCATTAAGTCATTATTTGGTAAAATACCTAAAAATTCTATTAAAAAGGGAGGAACCTCAAATTAAATCTTAACACTCTTGTAAAATCAAGCTTGCCTACTTCCCAACCAAAAACAAAGGTCTCAGCTAAGATACCAAGAAATCTTTCATACAGAAGAAGGGAAAATGGAAGAAAAGGGAGAAGAAAGAAAGAGAGATAAAGGAATTTGTGACAGGTTGATTCCTTACACCTAGGTAACTATGCTCCTCACTTACCCTCTTTTCATAATCAAAAACTAATTCATATAGCTGTACAATTAAGCATTCAAGACTTAGAGGTTGCCAGTACAACTGTATCTCATCTTCCTGTCTGCAAGATAAGGTTCAATACATACAGAGGAGAAGGTGACAAATTAGTGACCTTAAAGTCCTTTATTTATTGCAGTGATGAGCAAAACAGAAAAATAGTATATTTTCAGAGGGGGTTTTGAACGGCATGCAGAAAGTCAGCCCTATAACACCACCCTAAACAGTAAGAGGACAAAACACTGAGCAGCTGCTCACTGATTTCTATCCAAACTATGCATTAAAAGAGACACAGTTCTACAGAATATGAAGGGAGGATGTGATCACAAAATGCAGTCACACAGGCTGAATTCGGCTTGCACAGGAATACTCAGTTACTGAATCTTCTAATTTTTGACACGTACCTTACTAGGGCTCTTTTTTATGGGTTATTTTGCAAGTAAAACAACCAAACAAGTAAAGCAGCTAATGTTGTTTATCGTTTAGAATATTTGTTCTAAATTTGGTTCTAAAGCTAAAGAATATTCGTGTGATGACATTAATAACTACTGCAATCTTATTTTGATGTGCAGATTTAGTCAAGTATTGAGAGGAGTCACATGAGGCATTCCCTCCACAAATGACTCTTCATCAAACAAGCGAGGACTTCAAATACCAAGTACATGCTTCTTACAGTATTTTGGAGATAGAATATAATGGCTTATGTTTAGTCTTAGTAATTGTTTTCAAATTACTGTCACTTCTAACCAATTTTGCATACCCTGGAGTAAGTCTATGAACAGACTGCCGTTCACAAATGTATGTCTTCGGTGGGAGTGTTCATAAATAATAAAAACTATACTTTATGCATCCAACTACATAAAATTTTCCAATATGTTGTAACACACAAAGGATAAAGTATGAATTGGTTATCAGAAAACAGATTTTCTCCAAATAGTATTTGTTAAACATTAACAAGCAATTAAAATTATATATTTTCTGTCTAAGAAATACCATGGACACTTGCAAAAACATCATAAATGGTTAATAATCACACTTTAAAAAATACCAGAAATATTACATTATGATATTAAGCTAGTTCAGATGAATTGGAAGAACTTCATTTGGGCTCCACAACATTCTCATCCCTTCCAGGCAATGTCACATTAACATACTTATATTAAAATATGATTTTTTTCACTCTGCTGTCCAACTTAATGTGAGGCTGTAGGATATTTTCCTTTAACTTCATCCTTAATCAATCTGAAATACTTTCTTTTGTTTTGTGTTGGATACAAATTAAAACACCGAAAAGATCTGGGGTCCAACTAATGCCTTTTCTTTTATGTTTAATTAAGTAAAAACCCAAACATCTATGGATAAGCAAATTACATACCAGTTCAGAAATTTTGTTATTTTCCTAGGGTCAAAGATAATGATTTTATTTAGCATGAATTTATGAATCCATTAATAAAACCTAAACTGTCTCTTTCAGGAATTAAGCAACTCACCTTAAATTGGCCCAAAGTTGTGTCAGGGAAGGTTTAGATTGAAAATTAGGAAAAAATTCTTTGCTGAAAGGGTGATCAAGCATTGGAAGAGGATGCCCAGGGAAGTGGCTGAGTCACCACCCCTAGAGGTATTTAAAAGACATGTAGATGTGGCCCTTAGGGACACAGTGGTGGACTCGGCAGAGTTAAGGTTAATGGTGGGACTTGAAGAACTTAAGGGTCTTTTCTAACCTAAATGACTTTATGACTATGTCACCCACTGTGGAGCCCTCTCAATGAAGTACCTGTACTTCAACAGGTTCTTACCCTTTTTCAACTGTCCTATAGAAAACAGAAAACAGCAACATACAGATATCAAAGATTGACCTTATGTACCCCCTTAACCACAAAAACAAAACCAACAGAATTAATTTAGCCCAACTCTATCCAGCTTTGATGCTTTAGGATTTCATGTAAAACAAGACTTGCATGAAAGGGATAGTAAGAGTGCATCAGCAATTCTGTTTGTCTTTAAAAATAAATTTGCTCAGTTCACCAGTAAAAAGATTGTTTTCCTAACTTTGAGCTTGCAAGCTTGCCCTCCATATATTATTCTGCAAAGGAATATAACCCTGAATTGTAATACTAAATCAAATATTCTAAAATGATTGAAGGTTGCTCTAAAAATGATAGAAGGTTGAACAAGAAGTTTTTACATATACTGGCAAATGTTCATTGCAGTTTTCAAAGAAAATAATGTGTTTGGCCTCTGATCTCTTAATATTTTTAACAGATGTCTAATCTTGCTAACAAATCATTACAAAAAAAATTGTTATCAGAATGCTTTTTGCTGGAAAGACATGAAACAACAGAACTAATGTACGCAATTCAAAAGTCTGATTCAAGAAGGCGAGAGCACTGAAATATCAGATAGAGATATAAAAGATAATTAGGGCAAAGTGTATCTACATATCTCCTTCATTACCCTTCTCCTTTTGTTGCAGAAGTGCCTGCTATTATGAAGTAATAGTCATGTTACTTCATAAAAGCATACTACAAAGTTTAATAAATTCATCAGTCCTTAGTATTTTTAAAAGGTTTAGTTACTTCAGCAAATTCTGCAGTAAACCACTATCTTCTGCAACTTGTTTAAAGGCTTTCTTAGCTAACAACTTCAGCAATGTAAGCACTTTCTTCCTAGCTTTGTATTAGCACATATATTTTTGTTAAGCAATTACAGCTGACTGTACTTGTGTGCAAATGAGATGACAGGCAGAAAACACGAAGCACATGTGAGAAAGGACAGTTGTATGTATCAAAAAAAAATACATGTCAGGATTTGCAATACTGCTGCAGTCCTCAGAGAGGAAGAGAGGCAGAAGATAAAAGGAAGCCAGAGAAAGGATTGGGAAGAGTTGTGAGGTGGAAAGGTACATGACCAGAGCATCAGTAATGAGTATCCCTTGCACAAAAATCTGGGTGGATTGAGAAGGACCCATACGGGAAGTGAATATGCCACGTGAAGATGGCACATGAAGTGTTTATCAAAAACGAGTGGCCTACAGAGCCACGTGGTTACAGCTCTGCATCACACAACTGCTCTTCTGCTCAAAAAGCCTAAATAAAACATATTCTAGGGAAAGCAACTAGATCTACTCAGTTTGGTCACCTCAGAAATCCAAGCCATGTCCATGAGAAAAACAACAATATGATAAACTAATGAAATTTTTGAACTTTCCACACTGTTTCTGGGATACAGTATTTCACAGTAAGCCAACACTTTCCCAAGATGCTTCCCACACCCTGCCCCCCCCCGCTTTTCTTTTAACAAAACATTGAATGTCCCAGCCAAGAAATTCTTCTTCCTTTTTATTCCTAACATCTTCTAGATTTTTTTAAAAGCACAGGCAGTAAATTAAGGCAGGCCTTGGGGAAAGTGAGACCTACAAAGATTGCTTTATCAATCTTTCCCTTATTACAGATGCGTCACTAAATTTTACTTATTTATTAGTATGAACACAGTCAACCATAAAACTACAATCATGTCTACAGCAAAAGGAACTCTGTCCAGTAATGAGCGTGCCACTAGTAATGTGCAATCTACTTCAGTTTGCTCCAGCACAAAGAAGGTGTGATGTGAACAGGGAAGCTCATCTCTAGAGATGCCTCCGAGGCTCACTCACCAGCTGTTTCCTGTCTTTCACATCAAGGAGTGTTTCCAAGGCTCCTTGAGAGCTGGAAACTTGGGATTTACACTAGTTTCAAACTAGCTCAGCAGAGATGCCAGACAAGCAAGTCCCAAGCCGTGTACGGTGTTTGAGTTTTAAACGAGTCTTTTCACCTGAGATATTTTCAGGAAAATAAAATGGCTGACACTTGCAATATTCAGCTGTGAAAGTTATAATTGTTAGCAAATGTAAAAGCTTTCTAAGATACCATATTATCATAGGCCAGTCCCAAGGTGACAAACTTATGAGATATAAAGGTGAAAAAAAGAAATCAAACAAACAAACTAGAAAACTTTTTTAGTCACAGCTGAGCAAAGCTGTCTGGGTCTTTGTTGAAAGTGATCCCAACAGAGACAGCCAACACCTCAGACCTGTGATTACAGCTGACAAGACAGACAGGTTCCCAGGTAACAAATTAAACTCTCCAAATGGCTACTTCCCCATCCCCCCTTCAGCCAGCTCTACTGAAGGAAGCATATTTGCTTTTCTCTCCATTATAATCCAGAAAAGAAATGTAAGTGTACTATCTGGGTTTAGTATATCACTTAAAAAATATCAGATCTATGTATGTCAGCTGAATTCAGGAATTTCTCAATATTTTCCCTGAGTAGGCACTTGCAGACTATATCAGATGCTTTCTTTAAGTCTCCATAAACATGATCCCCAGGCTTTCAATTTATGTGACAGCTCTTCAATACCACTTCCCGTGGTGTAGAAACGGATGCTGTTTCAGTAATGAGCATACTGATGCAAAACAAGATTAACTTGTGAAATCTGAGGTTTCAGTGTTTACAAGATTACACGCTTACATGATTTGCTCTTCTCTGTTATTTTCTAACTCAGTGACATCTACATGTGTCCTAGTTAGGACAACTGAGACCAGTTCATCAGGGTATGGGTGTAACCCAAAACTGTGTATTCTATAGCCTTCCATGCCATTTCCCAGAAACTGTTATCAATGAACCATTTACACCATCTGCCCATAGAGCCTGACTCCTCAGGCTACAAACTAGGTGTTAAGAGGCCTGTGAGATAGGAGGATGCTCCTGTCCTCACACCCTTTGTGGAACTCCCCGCCCTGAGGGAAGTGCTGAGCATTCCTGCCTGAACTGCAGGATATATAATCTTGGAGTCTTGGAACATTTTTGAACCACTCTGTGGGATCCAGAGAAGGACTGCGGCTCATCGCTCTCAAACAGACTTGGACCACCACCCTATACTGGACTCCAATCACCACTTTTGACCAGACTGCAACAGCTCTTCCCCCAGCATCTCACTGCAATCACCACTTTTGACCAGACTGCAACAGCTCTCCCACCAGCAGGTTCTTCCCCTCTCCCTTTACTTTGGACTCACGCGGGGCCCAAGGAACACCACGTTGTTCATGCCCCAGGGTACTGGGTTATACATTTGGGTTTTGTGGGTTAAGACCAATTGTTTGTTTGTATGATTGTACTTACTGTATTATTTTAGTAAATTGTTATTCTGACTTATAATCTCTCCTTTGAGTTGAGTTCATTTCCCCTGCTGGTTAACTCTTAAACCAGCACATTTTTGGCCGCCCAACGTGGGGCAGAGAGAGAGAAGTCAGAATCACAATTTCACTTTAAGCATTTGTCTATTTGGATATAGAAACTCCCTGATCACCATGTTGTTTGATGCATTCACATGGATGTTGTATTTGAGCCTGTTCATATTTCCACAGATGGGGAACTATTTGCCTGTTTTGATGCTCTCTTTAAGACCAGGGAGAGGGATCCAAATTGCTTTATTAGTATATTATGTTTATGTCATTCTAACATCAGAAGCAATGAGTTTCATTGTAAATGTGTATTCAGTCCTGTTTGCCTGTCCTGGTTTGGGTTGCTACCTCTGGGGCTTCATTAAAAATCGTACCCAGCCCTTTGGGGGAACAGGGGGGGATGGTTGTTTCCAGCCTCTCACCTCCTTCTTCCCCTTCAGACCTGCTACAACAGTTTTTGAAAATATTGAGTTCCCTTTTGATGTTAAGGACAGTATAATGTTATTGTTAGTGTTGCTCTGTCTGCTCTGTACTGTGTACACCATGTTTAGGGTCAGAACAGGGCCTTCTAGGGAGGTTGTCTGGACACCTGCCCTGGGAGCAGATAATGCTGAGTGGCACGGGAAGTGGGAGGACATCAGCCAGTATTTGGAGAAGTTTTCTCCTCCAATGATCTGGAAATTCACCCCTGAACAACTGCAGGATCCTGTTAGCATGATAAGACTGGTGAAGGGAAAATGCTCTGGCAGCTCCAGAGATGGCCAGCTCACAGCAACCTGCTGGGCCCTGGCCACTGCCTACCGGACACTACTTGACATGGTACAGCACTGTCAGGGGGAGGAGAGAAGGACCAAATCCGCAGGCACCACGTCCACCCAAACCACAGCTGAGTCAGAGGGAGAAAGAAATAAACCAACCGGCACCGTGTCCACACAAACCATCGAGGAGCCAGAAGAACAACCAAAACCAATAGCAGTCGCCCCTGTCCAGAAAAGGAAATCAAAGACTAAATCAGTCCGTATAGCAAATGATGACGAAGAGGCAGGACCTTCACACCCACTGGAGGAGACAGAGCCAGAAATAATCACTCGGTCCCTATCCCTGGGTGAGCTACGCGAGCTCCGGAGAGAGTTCACACGACAGGCGAACGAGTCCATTCTGACCTGGCTGCTCCGAATCTGGGATGCCGCAGCTAACGATACAATCCTAGATGGGACTGAAGCCAGACAGCTGGGGTCCCTGTCTCGAGATGTAGTCATTGATCAGGGGATTGGAAGGAGGCAGGAAACTCTCAGCCTCTGGCGGCGACTGTTGTGCAGTGTGAGGGAGAGATACCTTTGCAAGGAGGACCTCCACGTACAGCAAGGACAGTGGAACAAGGTATCCGGTGCTTAAGGGAGTTAGCTGTACTGGAGATAATCTTTTCAGACGATGAAAGATTCCCTAAAAGTCCAGATGGCGTACAGTGCACCTCCCAGATGTGGTTAAAGTTTGCACGACTCGGGCCAGAAATGTATTCCCGCTACTTAGCAACGCTGCAATGGAGGGAGGGAGAGGACAAGGTGGGAGCATTGGTTAGTAAACTCAGGATGTATGAAGACACTGTCACCGCCCCATTACGAGCCCACGTCTCATCTGTGGAAACCAAACTGGCTGAACACGTCCGAAGCCTGGAAGAGAAAATTGAAGAGGGACACCAGAAGCTAAGAGAGGAAATTAAGGAAGGGATCTTCCATATCTCACCAGGACAAACAAGAGTCTCTGCTATTAGGAGCCAGCGTCCCCCAGCTAAGGAGAGAAGGTACACTCCACGTGGCGATCTATGGTTTTACCTCCGTGAGCACGGAGAAGATATGAGGAAGTGGGATGGGAAACCCACCCCTTCCTTAGCAGCCCGGGTACGTGAACTGAAAAGAGGAACAAGTACCACAAGGAACTCTTCAAGGGTAAACGCTGCTCCAGTCTCTCGTGGGCAAGACTCCAGACGGTACAGGAATGATGATACGTCTGATCCTCTTGAAGGGACCTCCAGGTCATACCCACAAGAAGAGCACAATGAGTACCATGACCAGGACTAGGGGTGCCCTGCCTCTAGCCAGGTAGAGGAGAGGGACAATCGAGTCTATTGGACAGTGTGGATTCGGTGGCCTGGCACATCAGAGCCACAAAGGTATAAGGCCTTAGTGGACACCGGCGCACAATGTACTTTAATGCCATCAAGATACGTAGGGGCAGAATCCATCTCCATTTCTGGGGTGACAGGGGGATCCCAACAGCTGACTGTACTGGAAGCTGAAGTGAGCCTGACTGGGAAGGAATGGCACAGACACCCCATCGTGACTGGCCCAGAGGCCCCGTGCATCCTTGGCATAGATTACCTGAGGAGTGGGTATTTCAAAGACCCAAAAGGACTTCGTTGGGCTTTTGGCATAGCTGCTGTGGAGACGGAGGAAATTAGACAGTTGAACACCTTGCCTGGTCTCTCAGAGGACCCCTCTGCTGTGGGACTGCTGAAGGTTGAAGAACAATTGGTACCGATAGCCACAGCAACAGTGCACCGTCGGCAATACCGCACCGACCGAGACTCTGTGACCCCTATACATAAGATGATCCGTGAACTGGAGACCCAGGGGGTGGTCAGCAAGACTCGCTCACCCTTTAATAGCCCTATATGGCCAGTGCGTAAGTCCAGCGGAGAGTGGAGGCTGACGGTGGATTACCGTGGACTCAATGAAGTCACACCACCCCT